CATAACACAAAATTTTAAACACTTTTTGATAGGAATGCAACATCCAGACCTCCAACATTATAGTAAAAAATGATGTCGACTTGATCATAGCATACAATTTAAACAAGCTCATCATCCTAAAAATTCAAAAGGGGCACGGAGCACATAGTTCAACATAGTGTTCGACACATACATCATTTTTACACATCGTTTGACGCATACATCAGGTTCATATTAAAAGCGACATTGCAGGCACATAAAAGTCACAAACTGAGCCTCCTTTTACTTTTTGTGGTCATTGCAGGGCTAGCAGGATTACATCTTTTGCTTCTTGTGCCCATCGCAGGGCTATCAAGTGTCAGTGGCTTTATGGCAATGTCTTTAGCTATATTCTTCCGCTTTGTCTTTGTCTTAGCCTTGGCCCTCATAGTTTTAGATGTTGGTGCTGCACCACTTGTAAGCTCCGTAGATGGTTCAGGTTGATTTGAGCGTTTAAACTTGGAGAGATATACTGTATAGAACTAACAACTTATTTGATAAAAAACTATGACAAAATCAAATCCGCTCATAAGCCATTTTTTATGTGAATTTCCATGCATTTGATAAGAAACATGTTCTCATTGTGTACAAAATTGACATCTTAGTAAATCAGCAACTAAGTGAGAGTTCCAATTGACTATTTGAGTCAAAAACCAATAGAAATCAGTAGTAGTACCTCGCTGATCCTGTAGATTCAACCATGCCTTGTTTGGACTTTTTCTTAGCTGCAGGCTCAATACTTTGGCTCCTAGAAAATTTAGATTTTAGTAATCGAAAATTTGAGCAAAAAATTTGTACAAATAAGAATCATACCCTGCTGATCCTGCAGATTCAAAAGCGCTACGCTTGCCTTTTTTCTTAGTTTCTGGTTCCACGCTAAGGCTATGGTAAATATAAATGAAGTTACATTCAAAGCATGTTTTCATATAATGATGAACACAAGATTTTCAGTTAACCTTGGTGGAAAAGACATGGATCGTGTTGTTGTTTTATCATCCATCGACACAATGCTGGATTGAGATGTTGTCTTCTTTTTTTCTTCTTTGGTTCCCTAGAAGTGAAAATATTAAATCAAGGTCACTTATCTTTAAATTTCTTCTTTTCTATGGTACTGAACATACAGACTTTATTACCTCAGTGATGCTAGAGCTTTCTTGTCTTCTAGATTACCCTTTTTACATGTATGCCAGTGATGCCCAACCTCCAAACAAATATGACACTTATGCTGTCTTTTTTTCTTGTTCTTGTTAGTGCATCCTTTGAACCTTTGGTTCCTTCGCCTACCAGAAGTGGGTTTTAAGAGTGGAGGATACATGAAAAATCCATGTGTTGCTTTAGGCCATTGAGTCTTGTCAGGCATAGCTGGGATTAATTGAGTATATTCTACTCTAAATTTGTCAACAGAGTAATAAGGATCCACATAGTTATCTAGAACTGCATTGCTAAGTGATATAATAAATGTTATGGCATGTCTACATGGAATTCTAGAAATCTGCCATTGCTTACAAGAACATGTTCTATCAAGCAAGTTTAGCACAAACCGGAAGCCACTACCCCCCAATGCAGTAACTTTTCCCACTTCCTTTGAGCATTCCTTAACTTCCAACTCCAACTCCCTGCTCTGTTCATTCAATTTCTTAATTATATGTGGGAGAATCAAGCCATCTAGCTTTCTTGAGATTTTTCTTCTTTGGTTCCATTTGGTCATAAGCAATTGCCTAATCTTGTCCAAGAAATCATCCAAATTCAGGGACTTGTGTTCCTTAATCCAATTATTGAAGCTCTCAGCTAAGTTGTTGGTTACATAGTCTACCTTTGATCTAGTGGAGAACTGACTCCTAATCCACAAGCTAGTATGGCATTTCCTTAGGTATGCGGTTGTGGCTGGTTTTTCTTTCTCCATTGCAAGCCAATGCTTCTCAAATACATAGGGGTTCCATGAGTAAGCTGTTGCCCAAAGATGGTGATCAAACACTTTTTCATGGTACTTCTTCTTAAAGTTGGTCACTAAGTGAAACATGCATTCCCTATGTTCTACTTGTGGAAACACCTCTTTTACACAATTCATGATTGCCTGCCCTGCATCAATACATATGGCTAAATCGTTTGGTGAACCAATAGCATCTTTGAGCAATTGTATAAACCAGATCCAGTTATCATTAGTTTCAGAATCAAAACCTCCAAAAGCTACTGGATACAACCAATTATGACCATCAACACCCAAAGCACTAGCCAATTGTCCCTTGTACTTACCAGTTAAGAATGTACTGTCTATAGCTAGATATGGCCTGCAACCAGAAAGGAACCCCTCTATGCAAGGTTTCAAAGCAAAGAATAACCTTCTAAATCTGAATTTCTCATTAACTGTGTGATGATCAATAATTACCATACTACCTGGACAACATTGCTCAATTGCTGACTTAAACCTAAATAGATTATCAAAGCTGCTGTCCCAATTACCATAAAGCTGATTTAGTGCTAGCTCCATACCCTTATACACTCTCTGGTAGTGAATGTGTACCTTGTGGTGCTCTTTTAGTTTCTTATGCAGTGCTTTTGCTCCCAAAGTTGCATCATCAATGAGCCAGTCCTTCACCTTCTCACATATCCAATGCTTGGTAGCATTCACTACCTTCTTTTTTCTTCTCGTGCTAGAACATGTATGCTGAAATGAATTTTTTTTACCTGAAATGAAATGTTGTAGTTAGAAACATTTAAACAATAAGATGGCAAAGTGTACACAATGGTAAGATTATTACAATTATAGTCTGCTTGTCTTTGTTGTTGAAGCATGTATCCTCCACGGATATTTGTCTTTATTTTTCCTAGAACAAATACATGTGAACCTTTTTGGTGCACTTTTCACAGTTCTATATTCAAACTCATTTTTTATTGCATGTTGAGATAATGCCAATTTAAAAGTTGCCATGTTGGGATATGTTGTGCCTTCTGTCATTGGAGGATCTTCTTTATCATATTCTGTGTCTAGGGCATGACCTTTCTCATTGTCGTCTCCTACTAAATCCTCGACCTCCTCTATTTTAGACTCCGACTCAGACCCTGACTTCCCTAACTCAGACCTTGACTCAACTTCATCCTCATCATCTTCAACTGGAACATAATGCTTATCCTTGTCTTTGGCAGAATAAAACTAGGTCCAAACATGTACAGGTTCATTGTACATACCCTCATCATCTACACTAACATGTTCGTTCTCTGGTTGTGGATTTCATAGATAAGCATCCTCACCCTCATCCAATTGTGTGGTGTCACCAGGAGGCTTATTTGGCTTGTTCATATTCTCACTATCCCACTCAGTGATAGGATGGTATTGCTCAGAAGGATCACAATACGCCATGAACATGTCCACAACCTTTGTATTCATGTGTCTCTCAAACATTAACATCAAGTCTTGGTCTGTTTTAACTTCTAGAAAGCTTTTCAAAACATGGTCATGATATTGAAGATGTGCAACTTCCATGTAACCGGGTGGATGTTGCTCTATGATTGATTGAATTAAGTCCTTTAAATTTGTTCTGTCACTATCCATAATTTTCTCAAAACAAAAACATCTCAGATCCTTCCTAGCTTTCTTTGGATTACCAAGATGTTTAAAGTTCAGTATTAAAGTGGATTTATGATCCATCCTATGAGCAAAGTAGTTGTAAACTTAAGTGATCGATACAAACACACAAATCAGAGTCGGTGATTGTTAACTCACCCTTTAAGCCAATCTGCCTGTATTGCAGATGCACCACCTCCTCCAATATCTAGGTCCTCGTCTGCACCTCCGTCGGGCTCCATTCAACCCGTGCTGGCGTCGCAGGCCACTGGCACACAGAGAGCCAAAGTCCAGGCCGTGCACCCAGGCCGCACGCCCTGGCCACTGTGACCCCAGGCAGCCGCACGCCCTGGTCGCCGCGACCCCAGGCAGCCACGCGCCCTAGTCGCCGCGAGCCCAGGACGCCGCGACCCTAGGCAGTCGTGCGCCCTAGCCGCCGCGCGCCCTTGCCTCCGCCTGCCCAGCCACCTGCCGAGCCTACGCGCCCTGGCCACCGACCCGCAGTACCTAGGGTTAGGGTTCCTTTTTGTTTCAGAAGAAGAGAGCGGGCTTGGATGCGGGAAGGGACAGAGACGAGACCGAGAGGTCGAGATAGAAGAGAAAGGAGAGACACGGCTTCAGTTAGCAGTATTTCTGTCTGTTCAATAAAAACTGACAACTCAATGATAACAAACTTTGACAGATCTCACGGTAAGACCAGATTAGAAAACGAAACTTCGAGTGAGGCCAAATAGGTAAGAAATTTTGTTTCAGGGCCAAGGAAGAAAGACAACTTTAAAACAGGGTCAAATAAGAAATTTTCTCTTTTTGGTAGGATCGTTCTGCTACTTTTCAGTGCAAAGTGCCGACACTTGCAAATTCAGGAAACTCCCAGCCTCAAATGTTGCTTAAGCATTTAGTTTCTTCAAAAGAAATGGTCATCATCACTTCAGATAGTCTGCTGTAACTGATGAAACTGATATTATTTTTGCAATGTGTTCCTGACTGGAAAAAAAAAGAGAGAGAGAAGTCGCAAATCTTCTAACCACTTTTGATGAAATTGACCTGAAAGAAGCTCCATTATCTTGTGAAGCCATCCAAAAGATGCTATCTACAAAAATACCTTTAACTTGTCATTGTCTTGTCCAACTTATATTTCATTTGACCCACAACAGAAGGCATTCGAAGCGTGATATCTTGGCCTTGGCATCACCTGAAGTGTGCGATGTGTCGATACGGCTGCTTCTATCTTGCAGCTCAGAGATATGTGGTCAGTTTTCCTCCACTCTGTTGGATTTTCCTTCCGTTATCTGCATGAGCAGATAACTCCAAATGATCGGCTGGGAGGTGTTGTGACACTGCAGGTGATAGAGGTATATAAACTAAACGCTTCCGGCTCTGAGGTCCCGAAATTGATAAACTGGGAGCCTGGGATCACCAAATGGACCGTGTTCTTCTGAGCTCCCACTTGCCATCTCACGCTTTTGCAAACACAAGGTATTGATTCTCCCAACTCTTTTGTCTGTGGAAGGCCTTCGAAGAGTTCATACCTTCTCTGTAACCTGCCCGTTATTTTCCAATCTTTCAGGTTGCAGCAAGGCCCTGGTGGTCTCAACAGTATAGGATTTGCAGTCATCAGAAAGGGATGCTTAAAGTTTAGATGTTATGCGATTGGCGATGAACTTAATGGTCCAGGGCGCTTTAATAAGCCTTTTAACAAAAACAGTAATGGACCTGTTTTCCAAGGACTCGATGCGTCTGGTGCTTCTTTTAGAACTGTTGGTGCTGAAATCACTCAGGATACAAGAGATTTCTTTGTCAGTGATGCAGAGGGTGATCCAGACAAACCTACCGATGGATTCGCCTCAATCGACCAGGCTATAAATGCTTTGCGTGAAGGAAAGGTAGGTGAATGACTACGTTAAGTATATTTCACACCTTAATGCTTTTCATCACTATAATTTGTATCTTTACTATATTTTGTATCATCAATTCATCATAGTTTAGGTTTAAACTTGGGCACGGAGCTAGTACTCTTTGTCATATTCATCACAACTTCAGCCTGTACTTTTCATCCCTGCAGTTTGTTCCATTCATGTGCATGGAACATGCATGATCAGGCTAGATTGGATTGTCCTACTTGAAGATCATATTCCATATAATGTGTAATACATGAATTCTTACAAATATAGTAGTAGCTCACAATCAAGCACGATTCACTGAATTCAGCAGCTTAACTAGATGGATTTCCTTCCCAGTATTTTGGTTATATAAATACCACAATGTACTAATGTGCGTGCACCTTTATATTGCTCAAATCTATTTACTTTTATTTAAAAATTATAAGACTCAAGTGAAAACAATGCGACACTTACATCTACATGGAGCAAGTCCTTTGCTTCAAAACTCAGGACAGGACCTTGAATGCAGAATGTGATACCTACATTAGCATTGTTTCCATAGTACAGTTGAATTTAGCTACAAAGTTAACTATTCATTCTTCTCCAGTTTGTTATTGCTGTAGATGATGAAAACGGCGATAACGAAGGTGATCTTGTGATGGCGGCCACGCTAGTGAACCCAAAGTCAATTGCATTCATGATCAGGAACGGTTCTGGGATTATCTCAGTAGGCATGACAGAAGAGGACCTAACAAGACTGATGATTCCTATGATGTCCCCAATTACAGAAATCGAAGATATCACGGCTGCTGCTTCCACGGTGACAGTGGTAAAGATATATCATCTCATAGCCTTTGCAAATTCTTAGATGTACTACCAAACTTGAAAAGATATTTTCAATCTCTTCAGGATGCCCGGGTTGGCATATCTACCGGTGTCTCAGCTGCAGATAGGGCAAAGACCATCCTTACTCTAGCCTCTCCTGATTCCAAGCCCAGTGATCTGAGGAGACCAGGCCATATATTCCCCCTCAAGTACCGAAATGGGGGTGTGCTGAAAAGAGCTGGCCACACAGAAGCGTCAGTTGATCTTGTTGCATTGGCAGGTTTCCGTCCTGTATCCATTCTCTCCACTGTCATGGACCCCAGGGATGGTTCACTGGCAGGCATAACAGTTCTGCAGCAGATGGCTATGGAGCATGACATACCGATCATTTCGATTGCTGATCTCATCCGGTTAGTATATCTTAAGGTGAAGCCTTTGTGAACCTAAAAGCTTCCGTTGTTTTATCTTTTGATTATACTATACTGCTTGCATAACTCTTCAAGATCAAACATTAATATACCTGAAAACTGAAATGTATTGGTTTGGTGCTGGGATATTTCCAAGTTGCAAATATACTTTATGATATGAAGGTTTCAACAAAATGTTTTTTGGTTTGATTCAGGTATAAAAGAAAGCGGGAGAAGCTGGTGGAGCTGATTGCTGTGTCTCGCCTGCCAACGAAGTGGGGCCTCTTCCGAGCTTACTGCTACCAATCCAAGCTCGATGGAACTGAGCACATTGCTGTTGTGAAGGTACTGCAGTCACTTTTCTCCATTGATGTTGAACAGAACATGCACGTTTTGCCTTGATTTCCAGTTGGTCTCGTGTGATTCTCTCACTGGCCAATGTTTGTGACGCAGGGCGATATCGATGACGGTGAAGATGTCCTGGTGAGAGTGCACTCAGAGTGCCTGACGGGGGACATCCTCGGGTCAGCCCGCTGCGACTGCGGCAACCAGCTGGAGCTGGCGATGCAGCTGATCGAGAAGGCCGGCCGTGGCGTGCTCGTGTACCTCCGTGGCCACGAGGGCCGCGGCATTGGCCTGGGCCAGAAGCTCCGCGCCTACAATCTCCAGGACCAGGGCCACGACACCGTCGAGGCGAACGTCGAGCTCGGCCTCGCCGTGGACGCCCGCGAGTACGGCATCGGCGCCCAGGTAGCCAGAATCCACGCAATTCTTGCCTCATTTCTTCTTTAAGTTAAGGGGAGATTGATGTGTTTTTGGATCCAAAAATGTACGTTTCAGATACTCCGTGACATCGGCGTGCGCACGATGCGGCTGATGACCAACAACCCGGCCAAGTTCATCGGGCTCAAGGGCTACGGACTCGCCGTGGTGGGGAGGGTGCCGGTGATCTCTCCCATCACCGAGGAGAACCAGAAGTACCTCGAGACGAAGCGCACCAAAATGGGGCACGTCTACGGCTCCGACCTCCCTGGCAGCCTGCCGGAGTTCGCCAATCCACAAGGCACCCCCACAGAACAAGAAGACGATAACCAAAACTGATAAAACATATCGTTTTTTTTCTTGTGTTATTTGGATTGTTGCCATTATAATTTTTGAACATCTGAAAAACGTCACTACAATTCATCTATTTGGAACCATGTCATTATAATTTTTCCATTGTTTGAAATATATCACTTTGTACACTTTTGATACTGTTGGACCATATGTAGACCAATCAATTTTCATATTATCTAAAATGCCCCTGCCCTCTCTTTTTCCCCATCACTCACGCGTGGGCTCCATTGTCTTCTTCCTCCTCTCTTTCCCTCGCTGGCTCTGGTCCGCACGCAGCCAGGCTCGGTGGGCTCTGTGCCCGCGCTGCAGCCCACCGTCGCCGCAGTCGGCCCCCATGCCCGCAGTGGATTAAAGTCCCCCTCGGCCGCGTGCTCGCGCCAGCATCGCGCGACCCCACGATTCCTGTTGTCGATGTCGCGCACCATCGCGTTGCCGTACAGGCCTGCAGCCGCTCGTGCCTCGCCGCCGACGTCGCCGCTCCTGCTCGCAAGCCTGGCCGCCCGCTGCAGCTGCATGCGCTCGCAAGCCCGGCCTCCCGCACCACTGTCCAACGCCATGGCCGTAGCTCGCAGCTCGCTCCCCGCCTCGCTGCAGCTGCTCGTGCTCGCGAGTCCGGCCTCTTGCACTACGGTCCAACGCCATGGCCGCAGCTCGTCTCCTGCCTCGCTGCAGCCACCCGTGCTCACGCTCGCGAACTCGGCCTCCCGCATCGATGGCCCGACGCCATGGCCACAGCTCGCCTCCTGCCTCGCTGCAGGTCGGCCGCACACCGCATCGAGGAGCTCCCCCGCACACCATGGCCGACCACATGGTGGAAGGCGCCCTAATCCTCGCACGCGGCACGGACAACGTTGGCCGTGGTGGGGAACGAGAGGTCGACGACCGACGCTGAGAGCGCAACGGCGACGGGGGAGGGCAACGGGGAAGGAGGTGCTCAGGCGGCTAGATGTACGGCACCGGGATATGGGACACGCCAGTCACAACGAGGGCTTGGACGTGCACTGGCGCGACGGTTTCCATTGGAGCGGCATCTTGCTGCGGACTTGGAGAAGAAAGGAAGGAAGAAGATGACTTGACCACACGCGGACTTGGAGAAGAAAGGAAGGAAGAATCGATTTCCACGGGTGAGACCTCTCACACCAAACCGACATGGAGATAATGATACGAAAGGTAGAGAAAGGTATTATTTTGGGCAACACTAGAATACAGTTAGTTAACTGCACGTGGACCCAACGTCCGGAAAAGCGTTCAAAGTGGCGCATTTCAGGCAATGGAAGAATTATAATGGCATGGTTTCGAATAGATGAATTATAATGGCGTATTTCAAAAGTTACAAAATTATAATGGCAGCGATCCAAATAACCTTTTTTTTTAACGAAAGATACCATTATAACCACAATCACAAATTCGCATTTCATTTCGGTTGCTCATGCCAAATAATGTTCTGAGAACGAGTATTGCAGAAATGCAGAGTATTATCAATTGTCAAATTACAATGACAAGACATTCAGATACCAAACATAGCACTAGCATTCATTAATTCGTTTCATTGTTCGCAAACACTACGTCACCAATTACAAAATAATCCTCGGCCCCTGACAAAGGGAAGAGCCGTTAAGAACGAGGTCAGACGGGAATCATGTATCATTCTACTAGGCGGAGGTGAACTTGGTGACGGCCTTGGTGCCCTCGGAGACAGCGTGCTTGGCGAGCTCGTCGGCGAGGACGAGGCGGACCGAGGTCTGGATCTCGCGCGACGTGATGGTGGGTTTCTTGTTGTACCTGGCGAGGCGCGCCGCCTCCTGCGCGAGCTTCTCGAAGATGTCGTTGATGAAGGAGTTCATCATGGACATGGCCTTGGAGGAGATGCCGATGTCCGGCTGCACCTGTTTCACTTCAGCACCTTGAAGATGTAGATCTTGTAGGTCACCACGCTCTTCTTCTTGCCCTTCTTGTCACCGCCCGCGGCGCCATCCTTGGACGACGGTAGCCACTTCTCGGCCTTGGGCTTCTTCTCCGCCGCCTTGGGTGCCTTCTCCTCCGCCGCGGGCTTCTTCTCGGCTGGCTTCTTGTCCGCCTTCGGTGCCATCACGCACAGATCAAGAGGGCGGGAAGTTATTCAATGCAAACCATATTTTTGGTGCAATCGTGAAAATCCCTTGCAAAACCATATTTATGAGTTTTCAAAAAATTTGAAACTATATACACCAATAGTGCATATGTAGATGTGCATTGTCACAAAATTTAAGATTCAAACTCGTTCTACAAAAATTCATATGAAAATAACAAATTTCATTGGCATATGCACTAGAGGACAAATTTTGTGACAATGCACATCTACAGATGCATTATTGGTGGGCATAGTTTCAATTTTTTTGAGAACTCTTGAGTATGGTTTTAATGAGGTTTTCATGGATTACATCGAAGATGTGATTTGCACTTAATATTTTACCAAAGTTGAAGAAAACTCGTGAGGGCGGGAAAGAGGAGCATGGCGGCCCGTGATTGGTCAACAGAAGGAAGGCGCGGATTGGTGACATGGCGTGAATGTGTGATCTCAAGCTTTAGGCAGATCGACGGTGAGAATTGTTCCACCTATTAGCTAGCAGTGGATTCAAACAATCCCCTTCTAAAAATTAGCAACTATTAGAGCATCTTTAAGAAACTATTTATATCTTTCATAATTGACAGGAATAGAAATTTTGGTGAAAAAAATACCCTCCAACGGTCTCTTCAATTGGATATTCAAAAATTGATATCTTATATTCCGGATTTCTCGCTAGTCAAAGACGGAAAGCGAGGATGGCTCTCTAGACTGCGCACACGATATAGAGAAATTGTTAGATAATACAAAGATATAGAAAATGATTTTTACTCAAATGACTATCTAAATGATAATTTAGAGAGTGGATTTTAAAAAGGCTCTTGAAGATACTCTTAGCTATTAGCTAGCTAATTTTTAGTGCTAAGGATCAAGCAGGCCGTTGTGCATTGAGGCTGCGTTTACATGACTTCTCTTGCTCACACACTCAATTAACTGTCCACTTGCTTGCATGCATGTTGAGCCCGACGAATGGTGTCCAATTACTTACATGCACGTTAATTCAACCAAGAGAAGACGTCTATAATTTTGTGAAAAGTGTAGCTCAAATGTAGACCAGAATTCAAGCATCAACAACACTAGTTGAACACAATAAAAAATAGATAAATAATTGTTTTGCAATTATAATTGCAGCTTCTGTCCTAAATAGTGGCACTTAATAATAGAACATACTCCTCTTTTTAAGACCCTAGATAATACACTCTACCAGTAATAGCCATTGTTACATCACATCATTCATGAATCGTCGACACTGAAACGAATAACTTTGGTTGCATTTGATGCATAACCTGAGATGAACTAACACAACAATTGTTCGTGACTTTAAGCAGGACATTTTTGCTCATTAATCATGAAGCAGGGATCAAGTTTTTCTCTCAACAATACAATTTTTTTCATATGCTAAGAAAATTGTGGTCATCAGGACATCTGCAATTAATATGAAGCAGGGATCAAGTTAGTCTCAGTATACAATTTCATATGCTAAGAAAAGGAGCACAACCCCTAGCACTAAGACAACAACTAAGACAACAAAAGCAATGTAGATGAAGCAAACTAAGACAACAAACAAACATACCTGTGAAAATTTTTCTTTAGCTAAATTCGTCAAATCTTACACCATTTGCAAGACATCTTATTTTCCATTTATTTTCAATTATTATTATAATGCTATCATAGCAATTTTAATTTTCTCACATTATAAATCTATATTCATACCTAATATTAAAGAGCTAAAATTTCTCTCGTATTTTTTTGGTTTGGTCCATCCTTTTGCCCAACCGTCCACCTCCTCCTCTTTTAATCAACCACCGTCTCGCTCGCGTATGTCTTCGATCCCACCTCGTCCATTTGAGCACTGCACACATCGTCAATGTCGCCCTATTGCCATTGTTCGCCTGCCCTCATCCGTTCGTTCATGGCCCTAGCGACGGTGCGGAGGCGGCCCTATCCTGCTTGGTCCCTTCTCGTCTCCGCCCACGCGCTCCCCTCCTCTGCTCACACACACGCTCGCTCTATCCATCCTCCCTCGTCTGCACACTCCAAAGTTCTAAATCAGGGCACCCGTGATAATCCATAAATGCTTCTGCCAATCGTCTCTACCTGCTCTGGCCGCGCTCTCCATATAAATAAGCACCCCACACGTCCTCCAATCCAAATCCAGAACCCTATCTCAAGACCTATTTGTTGTGGGCAAGGTCACCTAGACAGTGGTTGCCGACATGGATTAGGTGGAGGCCAAGGAGAGAGCGGCGACAAAGCCATAGAGGCAAAGAGGAAAGGGGATTCGTTCGAAATGGCAGTCAAGATGTCAACGGAGAAGACAGAGAGCTCGATATTCTGAATCTCATCTCATTGCCAGTCAAGATGCCAACAGAGCAGACAAAGAGCTCGATGTTCTGAATCTCATCTCATGTTCAGAATCGGACGTTCTATATCTTGGAGCTATAACTCTACTCTTCTTTCAATGTTCTATTCTACTCGGGGAGCTAGAGGCGGCATGGATTTCCTAGAAGAATTAGGTTTTCTATATAATTTGAGGTTGATGCTTTGATAACTCATGATACTATTGGAATATGTTCCTTTTAATATGGTCGTCATCCAGAGTGAACAAGCTCCCTGATTTAAATTATGAGTCAAATAGATTAAAACTAAGAATCTGTTTCTCTAAACTTTAGAGCTAAGAGTCAAATGGATCTGTGGTTTTGATTCATGGGTGTGGTTTTGATTCTTGGGATGAGATCCAACTATTGGTACCTTAGCCTAGCACAGTGGATAGAGCGACTATTTTGGTTCATCCAATTTATTATGTATCTAGACATAACATACATCTAGATATAAAGAGGATCCAAATAGTTCCTAATACTAGTCCTAATCATTGGAGGATCCATGGTTTTGATTCATGAGATGAGATCCAACTATTGGTACCTATTAGCCCAGCACAGTGGATAGAGACTATTTTGGTTCATCAAATTTATTATGTATCTAGACGTAACATATGTTTAAATATATAGCAAAAGAATCTTAATAATACCCAACGAGGGAGTATACAAATATTAAAATTCTGAGTTGCTCAGGTACGCAGAGGGAATCTGAATACCCAGCGAGGAAATGAGCCAAGACACATTTGGCAGCCATATTCTTATGATGTTCACCATGAAAATTATGATTAGGTGGCAGCATATTCAAAATATTCTTCAACATCGATCATTTCATGCCACACAATACAATCGAATTTTAGGATAAGCAACAGTCCCGAGTTTGTCTAAAGAGACCCAACACCACCATACGAATGACACTGAACGGAAAATATACAGGGGAAGAGCAAAAGAATGCTAGCATGAGGTAATTGGTTGTGAATTGCAGCACACCGGTTGCAGCACTCGTTCAACTCCCCATATGTTCCTCCTTCAGAGCATTTCCTGAGATCTGCGGACACATTGCCTTACCTTTTTCTTGAACTCATCCTGCTTCTCTCTCCAATCCTTCTGCAAGACAAATTCATGTACAACTTCAGAAAACAATGGTATCTGATAACACCACACATTTCAGTGTTTTACCAAATGCCAGAAAGTTTCAGATATGGTGGGCTTAGACTAAATGATTAGAAAACCTCAGAAGTGCATAAAGTCAACTACCTTGACGATAGCAGAAGCGCTATGTGCTAATCAAGGAGAAAATGATCACAATAAATATTTAACGGGTGAATAAGCAAATAATTACTCAAGTAGTGTATTTCAAAGGACCCAATACTGTATTTAACTATTTATCCATCAGCAAAACTGACTAATGCAATTGCAAAGACGATAAGTGACCACTTTTAATGTTGCACTGGAAGCAGCACAAAAGAACTTCTGCAGTTTGTTTTCCTATGCAAAACAGAGAGAGAGAGAATAATGCCATGTGCACTTACAGCAGCTTCAATATTCGCTGGAGACTCGTCGTTCGGACTAGAGAGCATCGAAATGATGCTCAGAACTATACTTTCAACCTGCATTTCTGAAAGCACAATAAATTTGCGAAGGCAACATTGACTAATTTCTACTGATGTAAACAAAAGTTATGGACTAGGGTATACATCAACAAAAAATTCAGTCATATAGTATTTTAGCTACTGTGTGTGTGTGTGTGTGTGTGTGAGAGAGAGAGAGAGAGAGACACGCGAGCGTGCAGAGTCAAACAGTGGCATACCCTGTTTGGTTCCCAGGATTGAGAGGAATTGGAAAGTAATTTAATAATAAAATGGGAAGCACTTTCTAGATATTGGTTTCAGTTCATGGGATCCAAACAGGCCCTAAGAGTTAAATGGAAATAGTATTAGCTGCCCCCCAACATTGGGGGTGGGGGGTCGGGGGCTCTATAAACAAACAAACAAACATTTATATGCCCTGAACAAGAAGGCCCACCGTGTGCACTGGTGTCCACCGTTCGCTTGCAAGCTCATAACCATTGGGATCTTCGCCAGGTGGATGAAGAATTGAAATGCAAACACGTCCATCAGGATAAACTGAGAAATCAAAATAATAAGAATTGTCAGAACTTTGACATGATCAAATATTAGACATAAATATCAGTCAGATAGCGAAGCTTACCATTTGGATGCCACATCTCAGAAGTAAATCTTACTGATGGCGGGCTGTTGGGATAGTTCTGGGGGAAGGTCATTATGGCATTGAAGTAACCTCCATCACTGCAAAAGTAAAATGGTGACCCTCTTAATTTCATGAAAACCCGGAAAAATGAAGTGAGATTTTGATGGTGCTGTTATATTGAATGACAAGATCACAAAAAGTTATTGCAAGTGGGTGGGACATTTGCAAGGAAATAAACTATTACTGCAGGTGGGTGGGACATTTGCAAGAAAACAAACTACAGCTGCAAGTGGGTGGGGTATTTAAATCTACCTGAACATACAGCTAAGTAGTACAACAGATCGATACAAACATACAGCTGCAAGAATTCTGATGTACACTAGAGACCAAGCAATCGGG